GATACTGGGGTGGTTGCCATTTTCTTCTCAGCTCATTTTACAGATGAGGAAACTGAGGCAAGTAGGGTGAAGTGACTTGCCCAGTGTCACACAGCTAGTTAGAGTCTGAGGCCGGACTCTCATCTACTGCTCCACCTAGCTGCCCTCATAAGCTACATAGTAGAGTGGAAAGAATACTGGATGGACCAGAAGTCAGGAGAGACCTGAGTAGCGGGCTCAGCTTTGCTACTAAACTCTAATCCTTGGTCTCCTTAGCTATAAAATAAAGTCAGACCAGATGATTTCTTGGGTCCCTTCCAGCTCTAATCTGAATGCCAGCTGCTGCCTCTTAATCATCTGAGCCTCATAAGGCTTTCTATGTAAGTAGAAGCACTCATTGTCCTATAATATTTCACCTTGAAAGCAACAAAACATCAAATAACTTTTCTAACGTATCCTGAACCATTCTCTACTTGGGACCGAAGGGAGTTTTACATGTCAGATCTCCCCTTATTTGAGCAAGAGCAAAGTCAGGCTATTTTTTTTTAGTGGTGAATAAGAAAGAGGAATTTTGAAGAAACAATAGATGATAAATATCGGCATACAGAGATTTAAGACTGAAGGGACTCTATTTGAAATTGAGAAATCTTACATACTCATAAGAAAAACTTGGAATAAACGAGCATTGTGTTCCTTCAGCTCTCTGTAGATTCTCCTCTAAGGCCACATTTTGCCCCAGGAATTTCTTAGATAAATCTGCTACATATTTAATTTCTTCTCAATACTTCCCTTAATTTTCCAGCTATTTTTGATCTCCTGGTATAATGAATTAATTCATAAGGGGGGGGCAATAAATCAATACATGAAACCTCAAAGAAATGGCTCCTTCTGGAGCTCATCAACTTCTTGATCAGGTGATTTTCTAATTACTTTTCATGTTTTTCATTACATTGGAGACTTTATGCCGCCTTCCTGCAGTTGAGGTGCTATGTCTTCACCCCTCTCTGGTGTCCACTCCTTACTCTCCAGCCCACACAGTAAACCTAGTCAGTAAATCCCAGTGGCTCCCTATCACCTCCAGAATCAAATAAAAAAATCTTCTTTGATGGGGTATAGACATCTATCCTGCCCTACAGGAAAATAGAAGGGGAAGGGGATGAGAGAAGGGGGCGGTGATAGAAGGGAGGGCAGATCAGGGTAAGGGGTATTCAGAATGCATGCAATCTTTGGGGGGGAGGGGCAAGATGGGGAGAAAATTTGGAACTCAAAATCTCGTGGAAGTGAATGTTGAAAACTAAAAATAATTAAAATAATTAACTTTTGAAAAAAAAGAAAATCTTGTTTGGTTTTCAAAGCTCTTCATAACCTGGCTCCCTCCTACCTTTCCAGCCTTATTATACCTGCTCCCTTCCATGTACTCTATAATTCAGTGCCATTGGCCTCTTTGCTGTTCCTCAAATAAGACACTCCATCTCCAACTCAGAGCATTTTCACTGACTATCCTCCATGCCTGGAATTCCTTCCCTCCTGCCCTCTGCTTTCTGGCTTCCCTGGCTTCCTCCAGGCCTCACCTTCTGCAAGAATCCCTTCCCAGTCTCCCTTAATCTGAGATTACTCTCAGTTTATCCTGGCACATAGCAAACATTTAATGAACACTATTTCCCTGACTGACTGACTCTCCACAAGGGCCTAAAGTGTATACAATGGAAAGAGTACAGATTCTGAAATCATAGGATCTGGATTCAAATCCTACCTCTGACTATTTGTTGCCTAGGGACCTTGGACATGTCACTTAACCTTCCTGGGCCTCAGTTTCCTTATATGTAATATGGCCTCTGAGGTCACTTTCCCATCTAGATCAATCATACTAGCCCCTGGATTCAAGTCCCACCTTTGACACATATTAACTGTGTGACCCTGGATAACTCTCTAACTTCCAAGTGACCCAGGCAACTCTTGAACACTCTAAATCACAAAGCAGGTATTGACCTGCATTGATTAAAAAAAAAGTCCTTTCTGGGAATTCCCTACACCGACAAAATCATAGCTACATTTTTTTAAGCCAACGGAAAGATCTGCTATTGTGGTCCACAAGCCTTTCAAGATGGAGAAGATAGAAAACAAAGATGGAAAAGTGGCTCTAGTCTACCTATAGCATTGTAAGTGCTCCCTGATGTTCCTAATTCTAGCTCCCAACCAACAGCCTTAGCTACATCTGGGCAAGTCTCTTCTGCCCACTGCTAAATAACAAACTTCCAGCTGCCTACTCTACAGAAAATTTGTCTGGAAAGGATTTAGAGCATTCAGCCACTTGGGACTGCTTTCAAAACATGGCCCATCAAAACTGATGAATTTCCTGAACACCACAGATGCTGGAACCACCCACAAAAAGTGGTAGGGAGAAGTTAGGGAATTGTGAATGCTTTTTAAAGTGTGTTCACTTTGAGGAAAGAATTGGGAGAGCCTAAACTCACACAATTCATCATGGAGACTTGGACAGAAAACAAGAGCTGGGATAGGTTTGCGTCGGTTAGACTAATATTGGCACTGGTTGTTGCTAAGTAACTTTATTATTATTGGGGCCGATCTCCATGTTCTAAGAAAGAGCCAGGATATGTTGGAGTCAGACATTTCCAGGCAGGCTGACCTATCTTTTCATCAGATTACCATGAAGAGATGTCACTTTCTCTCCTCTGCCTTGGATCTCAGCAACCATGAAAGACAGCTTGAAAATTTTTGCCTATTGGTCAACTGTAGGCACAATTGCCCGGAATTGAGGCTTTGAGCCTGAAGGGACAATATCTAGTGAGTTAAGACGGTACAGATGAAAAGCAGCAGGTATAGCCTTGTGGGTCTGGTCAGGTGGAAGGCTGCCCATATTACTCTCCTTTCTGTCCCTTTTACAAATCAATCTGGAATTCCCCACCCAGCCCAATTATTGTCTTTCAGCCACCACAGGCAGCTGTGCGGTTAATAAGTTTTCTTCTTCATTGCTTATCAGACAGGATCATTTTATCTGCGGTTGCTCCAGTCCATTTGGCTTCAAAGGCCCCCTGAGCAAATGGGTAAATGAATAAAGTTTGAGCACCCTGAGTTTATGCTTCCCTCTACCTAAAATGAGCTGGGGATGGCCAAACCAGAGCACTGCAGGGCAGTAGGGGAGAGGAAGCAATAAGGTCTGCTAATAATGTGGGCACAGGCTAGAGAGGATCAAGTTGTACTTTACGGCATCTCTTCAGTTAATTGGACGAGTTTGATTTGATCAGGGTCGGAGCCTTGGTGAATTGTACAGACACAGCTCTAAGAGAATAAAGCCAAGAAGCGGGAGCTTCAGAGAGGACCAAAAACATCCTGACCCAAGTCTTAAATGCCCTTGTTTCTGTCAAATAGAGCCAGGGCCTCCATACCTGGGCAACAAGCCTTCACTCAGATGGCCAAGGCAAATGACCCCTACATAGACGACCCTGTTCCAGAATGCCTCCGGATAATGTGTTTTCAAGCCATGAGTGCACTGGGCTGGCTGGCTGTTAACATGCTACTGTGGTGGGAAATGCAAAAGAGAAATCTAATCTCAATTCTGAGACTCATTTGCTGATTCAGTAAATAAGCATTTATTAAGGACTTACTGTATATCAGGCACTAAGCTAAGCATTGGGGATACAGAGAAAGGTAAAAGATAGTCCCTGCTCTCAAGGAATTCACATACCGTGATAGAGAAAATATGTAAATAATTAGATCCATACAAGATATAGACCAAAAAAAAAATTGAAGGAAATGAGCAGAATGCAATATTCTTGAGGACAGGAGCTATTTTCATTTTTTTCTTTGTAGTGGATAGAGAGAGTTATGGCCTCCATTTCAGGGGTTCATGGATCCCCCAAGGGGTCAAAGTTTAGATTTCAGGGGATCTACAAACTCGGCTGGGAAAAACTCTATCTTTATTTTCACTAACCTCTAACTAAAATGTAGCATTTCCTTCCATTATGGATTTTTTAAAAATTATGGGATGAGATTCATAGGCTTCACCAAGCCTAGTACAAGTCCAGTTTCTGATAACATATTGACTGTGTGACCCTGGGTAAGTGTGGTTCCAGGCCACAAGTGTTAAGTTGCAAAACAGTTGTTGATCTGCATTCATGGAGGGCATTCCCTCATCCGGAGTTCTACATCCATGAAATCACAGGTCCACACACAAACATATTTCTTTTAAGCCACACCTTGCAACATGCCTGACACATTAATAGCTGCCTCTTAGATTGGATTTAACTCTTCTGTGCCTCAGTTTCCCCATTGGCAAGGGTTATTATGAAATTGGTCACACACAGACTTAGAAGCTTTCTTAAAAATCTTGTCTGAGCCTCCCTCTTCATTTTACAGTTGAAAAAACGGAGGCTCAGCGAAGACCAGTGACTGGCCAAAGGCCTCCCAGCTAAGGAGCAGAACCGACATGTGAACCCAGATCTCCAGATTCCAAACCCAGTGTTGTTTTCCACTGTACCACCAGGTTCCTGGATATTGTGTATAAAATCACTTTGAAAAGCATGAAGGACTATGGAAATGAAAGGCCTTAGGATCATAAGCCAAACAGATCAGTCTTTTTACTTTTGTAACTACGAGGAGGCACATTAAGCCTTGATGTATGTAAAGGAAAACCTCCTGACAATTAGAGCTGCCCAAAAGGGGAATGTTCTGATTTAGGAGATAAATTATTTTCCCTCATTAGGGGTCTTCAAGCAAAGGTGGAATGACTACTTATTGGTGATACTGTAGGAGGGATTTATTTTTGACTTTGGGCTGGACTAGATAATTCAAGCCTGGTTCTTTCCAAACCTTGGGGACACAACTTTTTTTTTTTAAATAACTAATACAAATCTCTTTAAGTAATGCTGCAGACAAATAGTTCTATTCCATGGAAAATGAAGAAATTAATCTCCCCAGGCTTTGTGGAGAAGCTCTTGCCAACTCTTTGGCCAAGAAACAAATGACTAGGTGAAGGACCCTGGGAAAACCAAGTTACTCACAATCCATCCGCCACCGTCAGTGTCCATGTCACAGTATACTTGCATGGGCTGGTTGACATCACCATGAAGGTAGATGGTGTACATGCCGCTGCCGAAGTCTCCATTCTGTTGAACCTGACTGCAGTCGTTTGGGTGGGGGAAACGAGCCTCAACTGGGAACCAATACAGGAAGCATCATTAATGAAAGGGAAGGAAATCACGAGTAGGGCTTTTCATTATTGTGGGAGGTCACCATCTGTTCGGCTATTATTTCACATTTTGTTGTTCAGTCATTTTAGTCACGTCCAACTCTCCATGACCCCATTTGGGGTTTTCTTGGCAAAGATACTAGAATGGTTTGCCATTTCCTTCTCCAGTTCATTTTGCAGATGAGGAAGCTGAGGCAAATGGTGTTGAGTGACAAGCCCAGAGTAACCCACGTAGTAAGTGTCTGAGGCTAGATTTGAACTCAGGTCTTCCTGACTCCAGGACCAGTGCTCTATCTACTGCATAACCTAGCTGTCTAAGTACCTTATGTATTCTATCTTTCCTACTTTGCTCTCCAACAGTTCTCAGACATACCTAACAGACACCTCTCTCTCTCTTTCTCTTTCTCTCTCTCTCCATGTGTATATATGTATGTATATATGTATACACACATACATATACATGCACATATACATACATACACATACATGTATATACATACTCTACACCCCCACATATATATGAACACACATATATACATGTAGGTCTATACACATATATAGACGTATATCTATTTCTATAGATAGATAGATAGATAGATATGTATATGTATTTATCAGAGTAATTTTGTTGGACTTTTAAAACCAGCCCTCAATCACAGTACATTTTCATTTTTTCACTTCTATGTAAACCATAATACTTCACACACTTGCTCCTCTCTAGAGCTCCTCCCCCCTTTTGTGGCATCTGCTATATACAATGCCCATGACATATTATTTCCAAGCTTGAGACGCCATCTTACCTGTGGATAAGTTAGTAGATACTATCCTGCTCCGGCGACCACCCTTAAAGGCTACCAGAGAAACTGCATACCTGACTCCTAGCCCAAGGCCTTGCAGCTTAAACCTCCGGTCCCCAGGTCCCAGCTTCACCTCCTAGCATGCAAACATATGTTAAAGAATTGGTTATTCAACTTGATGAGTTTGTTTCAACCAGAGTATAACATTATTCCATTTGATGAGTTTGCATCAACTAGAGTATAACATGTGATGAAGGCATTACAAACTGGTCATATTATGGTTAAAGTTGGTACTAGATTTTTAGACAATTTTTATCATCCACTGATAATCTCCAATAGTCCCCAATCTAATTCAAAATTGATCAATCAAAAATATTTCTTGAACACTTATAACGTACAAGAAATTTTATTAGGCCATTACAGAAGACAAAGGGAAATATAAAACGGAACCTTTTTTCAAAAAGTGTACAGTTCAGTTTGGGAAGCATAAAAAAGATAATCTAAAAAAGATGACCAAAAATATAGAAGGAGCAACATGACATAATAGGTAGAGAACTGGTCTCGGAGCCAGGAAGACCTGGGTTCAAGCCCAGTCTCTGAGACACATACTAGCTGTGTGACCATGGGAAAGATATTTAATCTCTCAGTGCTCCCAGGCAATTCTCTGACTGTTACCAGGGAATTGCTGATCTTAATGGATAGAGGGGATTTCAATAGAGTGGAGTGTTACCCTCACTGATAAATTCACAGATTAAAACTGTACCCGATCTCAAAAAAAATGAAAACAATATAGGGCAGAATAGTACATGATAACAGTATAAGGCCAAAAGAGCGATACAGACAGAAAGAGATATAGGAGTCCAGAGTAGGAAGAGAATGCTATGAACTATGCTGTTTGGGAAATCTTCATAAAGGAAATAAGACTTGAATGAAGCTTGGAGGGACAGTTTGGAATTATGGAGAGGAAATGGGAGAGCATTCCACAGAAAAAAAAAATACGAACAATGGTACAGAGGCATATGCAGAATATGCTCAGGGAGTAACAGTGAGAGATAAGACCAGAAAAACAGGCTGTGGCCAAAATTTTGCATCCCCACCCCATAGCATAGTGCTTGTTGACTTGATTTGACCTTAAATATCAGGAGAAGAAGTTTGCACTTTATCCTATAGGTAATAGGGAGTCATTCAAAGATTTAAAGCAAGGGAATAACATATGGAAAGCCATATTTTAGCAGCATTGAGCAAGATGGTTTTGATTCATGAGAAACTGAACATTACTCAGGAAGTTACTATAACAATGATAATATTATGTAGCACTTTCACATTTATAAAACTTTTTTTTTTAATCTCATTTGAGAGTACAGTTGGAATTCAAACCTTGGGCCTGCCTGATTCCAAGTCCAACACTCTTAACTATCCCCAGGTGTCCTTTATTTTTTGCGGGGGTTGGAAGAGCACTGACCTAAATCTGTGAGTTAGTTTAGCAGGCTGACTCCCAGTATGGAAACTCCTTCCAAGTCAAAGATTAGCAATACCCTATTAATTTACCAGGAGTTGCATAGGGGCCCTGAGAGATGTAGCATACCTAGTTCTAGAAATAGCATTTTAGAGCTCTGAAACTGGCTTTCTCTGATCTCAACAAGTGACGACACCAAGTTGTTGTTTTTTTTTTTCAACCGTTCAAGTACAACAGATATAGGCTTAAAGTATGGTGAAGACAGTACAAAAGACATCAGTTTCCCCATCAGAAAAACAAAACAAAGCCTTGATAATCAAAGCAATTTCAGAGATACCTCTCAATCCCAACCTGAAATGAAGACATGAAGGATTTTGGTGGGTTGAAATTTTAGTTCTCAGATGGCAGGATTCGTGATGCTGCTGTAACACTAGCAGTACAATCCTTCTCTTGCCCCTCACTCCAAGACACGCTTCTATGGAACCTGTGGATGCTTGGTCTACCAGAAACTGAAAGCTACTCAGCAGAGAGAATCCTTCCTACAGGTCCTAATATACAGAATCAGCCAAAGACATGAGGCTTAGAGAGAAGTAAATCCTAAAGCTCTGAAATGGGAATGTCCTATTTCTAGTGCTAGATATGTTAAATCTGAGGATAATTAATGATTGTTGAACGACTGTTTTTCAGGATATAAGTTCCTTAAAGGATATGACCATTTCATTTTTCTGTCTTTTATCCCCAGTGCCTGGCATATTAAGGAATGATTATAGAACAGAATTGAATTGAATTGAATTGAATTGAACCGAATCAAAGATATTTAGGGAGAAGAAGATCTTTTGGGTGAAGAGTAGAGTGTTTACCATAACTTTTTTAAGTGGGAAGTTTTTATGAGGGCACAGAATGTAGGTCTTATTTTGACAAGAGGGCCTCAAAGGCAGTCAAAGAACAAAATACTATGAAAAATGTGACCTCGGGTATTACTGTCCCCTGAGATTCTTTTGCTCCAGCCAGGCCAAAATTGGTAGCTACCGCAATAGCTATCATTTATCTAAAATGGATCTACACAGAAATCATTGAATTGTCACCCTGTGACAGTTGTTACAGAGCATGTGCCTTCTACCATTTCAGTCAAATGGGATCCTCCCCAGAATAACCAAGTGAAACATGGAAGCTCTGGCCATAGTGGACACTCAGGATATATTTGTTGATTGATTTATGATTGTCACATTGCCCAGTGGTCACCAAGATGGCCAACTGAGCTTAGGTACTTAAAATACAGGTGAGCAAGGGAGGGACAGAAAGAAAAGACTTAAAAAGTTAAGTACCTTGCTGGTGCCATCTGGAGCTTGGTAAGTTAGAATATAGCCATCAATTTGAGCAGAAGGTGGCATCCAGGTCACAACACCACTAGACTGGGTTACATCAGATGCACGGAGGTTTCTGGGAGGGTCAATATCTGTTTATAAAGAGTTGGTTAATTATTATTATTATTAAAGTGGAAAAAGAAAAGTGTATGGGAAAGGAAGGAATGAAAACAAAGTATGATGACTAGGAGGAGGAGGGAAGAAAAGAAATACAAATGGAGATAAAAAAGAGAAAAATACAATATATAGAATGTATAAGTATATGTATATATACATATATGTGCATATGTATATACATATATGTATGGGGATATATGTATATATATGTATGTGGATATATATGGACGACAGATTTTAGAAAAGCATTCAATTCCAATGAGATGTGAAGACATGAATACAGAGATAATGAATGAAGACAGAAAGATAAAAAGAGAAAGAAAAGATAGGGGAAAGAGGGAAAGAATGAATGAAAAAGTGTATTTATTAAGAGTTTACTATGCCTAAGCACAGAGAGATATACACAGAGACAGAGACAAAGAAAGGGGACTCTGGCTTTTTTTTTTTGTCTTCCATGTTGTCTCCCACACAAACTCCAGATGGAATCATGGGTTATGAGAGTTTCTCTGTAGGCAAGAAAACCTAAAATTCAGCAGCACTATAATTCTCAATTATAATATTTAGGCATTTATCTCAGTTGGTTTTTTGATACCATCCCTAAGATGTATCTTGAAATTTCCATTTTAAAAAACTCCTTGTTGGAAGTTATTTTAATTTAGCAGTCCCCCAAAAGATGCCTCCAGGCTAAAAAATTTCCACACAAGGTCTCAGCTCAGAAGTAAATTACTGTGTTTTAATAGGAATCAAACAACTATTGTTCTGAATTAGAGCTTTATGGGTACTTTGAGTTTCTATAACATCAACTTGGTCTGATTTCCTCAAGTAAGAGGATTGGCATACCTTCTGTTCTTTCTGTTATAAGGCAGAATCTAATTTCCTGCTTTGGAGATCAAAACTAAACTTAAAAGATAAAAACCTTAACATTAAAAACCAGTTTGTTTTGGTTTAACCCCTTGGTGCCAAGGTTCTCCTTCAGAATATATTGACTGTAAGACTGAGAAGAATATAAATTAAATGACATGAAATCTCTTCTGGCATACAGTGATGCACATAAGGGTTGCAGAGTTCATATGATCTAGAGATGAAAGAAATCTTAAAGGTCAGCTAGTAAAACTCCATCATTTTATAGAAGTAAAGCACGGAGAAGAGATATAATCATAGATTTTTAGAGTTAGAACAGACCTTTGCAGTCAGCTAATCCAGGCTCTTCATTTCACAGATGAGGAAAATGAAGCCCTGGAAGTTAAATGATTTCCCCAAAAATCACACAGGTAGTTAGTGGCAAAGCTGGAATTTGAACCCAAGCCATATGATCTGATGTCATATCCATTGCTATTTCCAGTTCACCAATCTGTACACTTATTACCAACAAATGGTACCACCAAAAGGCTTTCACTTTCTAGTTTCTCACTTCCCTCAACCTCCACCCCCCCGTCACAAGTCTTCCCAAAAGAGTAGAGTTACTATTGAACTATTCTGTACTTTCCTTATGCATCTCCTTAACCCTCTTCCACGACCCCAGTCCATACTCCAGTGTCAAATGGGTACAACCAAATCTCCTTTCAGTAGGTTATTGTTGAAAGGAACAGTCTAGAATGCTTAGAGACCAACGTCACTGTAATATGAAACAATAAAATAGCTTTGGCAATTGTCACCAGAGTATCTTAAAAAGTCAAACATTTTATACTTTGGGCACATCAATCAGCATTTGAATAAACTGAGTAGGCTGTGTCAGATGCTGGCTAGGTCTGAGAATCTGAACCAAGAACACACCTTTTCTTTGCTTCTCTTTTCCCATCTAAAATCAAACAGAAACAATACTATATGCCATCTTCTTAACTTTACAGAAATGAAAGAATAAATAAGATCATAGTATATGAATAACCTGTGGTTTCATCAGAGTGGAGAACTTCCTTCCACCAAATAACAACAGATCTATGGTGACTTAGTCTTGGGGAATTTCTTCAAGATATTTTAGAATCTATTATTAATGGTAAATGAACACCTAGAAAAAGATACAGTGATCCCAAAAAACTAATCTGTATTAACTACAGTAGTAAATCAAAGGAATATTATAAAGTTTACATAGACTTCACAAAAGTATCTCATTGTACACGTGTGGAAAAGATAGAGAAATATGGGTTAGATAATATTTCAATTAGTTGGACTCAGAACTGGTCAAATGCTCAGATATGAAGAGTAGACATTGATCATACCACAATTGGGAAAAAAATATCCAATGGATTACCCAAGAATATTGGGGTTGAGCTGTAAACATTTTTGTCAATGACTTAGTTAAAGGTATCAAAAGAGTAAAGGACTTAAAACCAGGAGGGATAGCAAACACACTGGATGATGGATACAGGTTCCAAAGAGATCCTGACAAGCTAAAACACTGGACTAAGATTAATCAAATGAAACTAAATAAAGATAAATGGAAAGTCTTTTATTTAGGTTCAAGACACTAATTCAAGGAAAGGAGATAAACAAAAGAGAAAAGGATTGACTCTGCAAAGGAGAGGTCTGTGAGCTTGACTTCAATTCCCAAGAAAATTCTAGAATGCATTACTAAAAGGATAGCTTGTAAATATCTAGAAAAAGAAGTGATGGTCACAACGAACAAGCATGACTTTGTCATGGACAGGTCATGGAAGGGAAAGGACTAGATCATGCTTCTCAATTGATAAATGGTTGAAGGATTTGAAAGGCAGTTCTCAAGAAAAGAAATCCCAGTTATCACTAGCCATGTGAAAAAATGGTCCAAGTCACTAATAATTAGAGAAATGCATATCAAAGCAACTCTGAGTTTCCATCTCACACCTATCATATGGTAAAATTGACAAAAAAGAGAAATGACAAACTTTGGGGGAACTGTGGGGAAAATAGGTACATTGGTGCACTTTTGGTAGAGGTGTGAATTGCTAGAGCCATTATGGAAACCATTTGAAATTTTGTCCAAGAAGTTACTAAACTGCATACCCTTTAATGCAACAACACCATTATTTGGCTTATACATGAAACAGCTAAAAGAAAGAGAAAAGGGTTCTTATGTATTAAAATATTTATAGCAGCCCTTTTACAGTGGCAAATAACTAGAAACTAAGGGGATGCTCATCAATTGGGAAATGGCTGAACAAATTATGGTATATAAATGTAAAAGAATATTATTGTGCTGTATGAGATGAAGAAATTATTTCACAGAAACGAGAAAGACCTCCATGAACTGATGCAGAATAAAGTGATCAGAATTAGGAGAAAATATCTACTGTAATATCAATATTGTAAAAATGAACAATTTTTAAGATTGAGTATTGTGTTTAGTTCCTAGGACCACATTTTAGGAAGAACACTAATAAGCTGGAGGGCAATACCTAGAATAAAAACGGTACTTGAGTTCATACCGCATGAGAATTGCTGAAAGAAACTGGGGATATTTAACATAGTAGAGAAGAGTCTTGGGAGAAGAGAACATGATAGCTGTCTTCCAGTTCTTGAAGGCCTGCCAGGGGAAAGATGAGTTAGACATGTTCAGTGTTGCCCCAGGTAAGAGAAATGAGGAGAAATTGTAAAGAAGCAACTTTTAGGTTTGATGTCAGGAAAAACTTCCTAGTTGTCTAAAAATAGAATTATGTGCCTCAGGCGAGGGGGGAATGTTTTCTCATGAGGGGTCTTCAATAAAAGGTCAGGTGATCCCTGGTCACTTGTCTTGTTATACGGATTTTTAGAGGGTGTGGCTTGGACTGGATGACCACTAAAGTTCCTTCCAATTCTGAAATTCTGCAAGTTGTTTGAGATAGAGACAGGTTAAATGGTTAGCACATACGTGACTTGGTACCCACGACCCAAAGGAAGCATTACTCAGAGACTGTTGTACACTAGAATTCTCTGAGGTTTGCACTCTGAGATTCTCTGTCCATCCCTTGAGGTCTATCACACATAGAAAGTAAATATGCAGTGCAAGAACGTCTTAACTAGCCACCAGAAAAAGCAAAGATTGGAGGTAGATGCTTGATTATTCCCTCCTCCCTAACCAAAATAAACCTTCAGAACTGAAAAAGAAGAGACTTCTTTTCCTTCTGTGGGTAACTTAACAGTCCCTTATTACCTGTCAATGCTTTGGTGTTGGCTTTCTTGCTTTCTCGATCTCCCTTCACAGCCCAGACATAAATAGAGTGGTCCATTCCTGGCTTCAGGCCTGTCAGCATGGTGGCAGTCTTGTCGTTCTCCACTGGCATCTCCTTAGTCTCTCCATCAGCTGAGGTGTAACGCACCATGTATCTGTCTATGACAGCCTGGACTGGGTCCCAGAATATAGTCGCTGTGTTCTCTGTCACCTGGTTAGCCATCAAGTTCTTGGGATCATCAATGTCTTCAAGAAAAAAATTTGGGAGAGGGTAAATATTGGCACCAAGTTGGCCATCATTACCAACCCATCTCCATCCTCTCATAAGGGCAAGCTTCTAGGACAATCATCAGGGTCATGCCTAACATAATAACAAAGCTATTCCCTTTGTGGCCACCTAGGGGAGCTAAGGGAGCAGGTAGTACCCACTTCCTATTTCCCAAGGTCTATCCTAAATTCATTTTTTCAATCAATAGCAGCACTTCATTATTTTTATCTCTTTAATTTTATTTTTAAATGTTATTTTATTCTTAATTTATGGAATAAAACAAGTATTTCTATAACATAGTGCAATGAAAAGATGATTGAACATGAAACTGCACATCTCCTATATACAACTCATTATTCCTTTCAAATATATAACAAAAATATCATGTAAATTTCTTTCTTTTCCTTTTTTTTCTTCCCTACCACCCCCACCCTAGAGATGGCTACCATTAGACACAAAACTTCTATTTAATCAGTTCTTTCTCTTAATGTAGCTAGGACCTTTCTTTATATGTCCTTTATAGTTAATTTTTACTTTTAAATTTAACTTTTTAATCTAATAAGCATTTGTTTTTTCTCTCCTCTCTACCTTCTACTTTAAAGAAAAAAATAGAAAAACAAAAATTTTAACAAATATGCACAGTATAAAAAAGCAAGTGGAACAGGATCTTCTGAGCAACATTTTGAGTCACAAAAATCATTGATTAAACAGCCTCTTCTGTAACTTTCAGGATTCTTCCTTACTTAGACTTAGAGATTTCTTTAGAGTTGGAAGGGACTTGAGAGATTATTTAATACAGACCTCTTATTTTGTAGATTTTTAAACATTTTATGCATTTGCCCACCAGGACACTCCTTTGGACATCTCCATCATGCCCCCATGAACCTCAATATCAGGAATCTTATCATCCTGTAAGATCACATGAGCCTTGGTACCCACACCTTATCAGTACCTTCTGTACCTCTGATTACAAGGTGGAGCAAAGAGCTCCTCTCAAAACCTCTGTTCAAAAAGGGCACTCAGGCCCGCCATCTTTTCATTTCCCACTCACCTGCATTCCTTCAGACGTCTCCCTCATGCCCAAGCCCATGTCCCCACTTATGGGAACTTTCTTTCCCACCCCTCTCCTCCTCTTTTCAGCTTCCTTTTATGTGTTATATCCCCTCCATTAGACTGTAAGCTCCTTGAAGGCAAGGACTGTTTTTCTTTTTCATGTTTTTATCCCCATTGCTCAGCACAGTGCCTGGCTCATAATAAATATTTCTTGAACTATTAACTGATCATAGAAGAAGAAACTAATTGAGGCCCCAGTAGGTTCACTGGCTTGTCCAAGGTTGCACAAAGTCATGTGACTCCTAGTCTAGTGTTTCCTCCATTCCACCATATTGCTTTTCTTCACTTATATGCAGTGGTGTGCTGGTAAATGTTTAACAACTGACTCCCCAGGGGAGAAAAAATCAATGCACTTTTAAATTTAATTTACATTATTTAACTTTTTCTCCATCACTTTTTAAAGTCTAGACAATTAACAAAAATAATAAATCAAGCCCTGATTTGTAGAGTTTGCAGATTTCTGAGATCTAAGTGCTCACAATGAAAATTTGACAATTGGCTTTCACTGGCTAGTTTGAGCTGGCTCCAATACATCCCTGCTTAGATTGCTGTAAAATTAACTTGTCCATTGAAACAGAACTATATCCCAGTGCCTGAGGTTTTTTAAAAAGCTGGCTTCTGCTAGATTCTTTCAGCTAACTTTGCCTCTGCCTTTTTTTTCCATACATATATACATTTGCATATATACTCACACATGTGCACACTCACACACACACACACACACACACACACACACAGAGAACAGAAGCAGAGACAAACAATGGTCTCCTCACTTAAATATAGAGTTTGCCATGGAAAAACAGGAAGAAGACATGAAGATAGGTGAATTATAAACACTAAAGAAATGCATCTCATTTTTCAACTCCCCCTAATCTTCTTTCCTTTCTTATCTTTCCCATTCAAATTTATTCTTTCCTCTTTATGGATATAATTATATTATCCCTACCACCTCTACAATCTCTGTCAATATCTTATTCCCCTTAATTTTCCCTCATCTGTCTACTATCATTCATTCTTCATCAAAACTTACTTTACATCATAATCCTAAAACTTGAAATGCCCCACACCTTGCCCCCAAAGATTGTAGACCGGCACTGTAGGGAGACATGTGCTCCCCCATGCACTATGGTATTGCTCTGAGAATAAGTCATTCATTACCCTTATCTGGCCTCCAGTTTCATTTAAAATGGTGTAGAAGCAGACTCTGCTTTTCAAGATCACAAAGCTATTGTGGGTATTATTTTAATAGTCCTTCTTCTTCAAAGAGATTATAATTTGATAAGGATCCTGAAATGTTACTTTATGTGGTTCAATAAGCAAAGCCTAAGAAAGTTTCTCCTGGTCTCCCAAGAGCATTTAAAGGAATTGATACAAGATGTCACCATCATATTTCATTAGATGAAGAGGTCTTGTGAGAAGTTTCATCTGAGCCATTGGACAACGTAAGACTGGGACCACCCTCACCATTTTGCTATTTCTTCTGGAGAATTCTAACATAAAACCATCCCAGATTGAGTCCACAGTACCCTGATACCATCAACATCAGACAGCAGCAATGTCACAATTTAATATCAGCTGACTGTCTCTGAGTCAATGAATTGGTTTCTGTTTCTCTCCTCTCCTGTTACCTGTTAGGGCTTTTGTGTTGGCTTTCTTGCTCTCTCGATCTTTCTTCACAGCCCAGACATATACAGTGTGCTCCATGCCTGGCCTTAGGCCTGGTAGAATAGTAGTAGTTTTGTCTTTCCTCACTGGTATCTGCTTGGTTTCTCCATCAGCTGAGGTGTAGCGCACCATGTACCTGTCTATGACGGCCTGGACAGGGTCCCAGGATATAGTGGCTGTATCCTCTGTCACTTGGTTAGTCACTAAGTTTCTGGGGCTATCAATCTCTGAAAGAAAAAGAGGTAATCAGTACAGAATTATTAATAAGCACCAAAGTATATGATCTGAAGTTCATTTATCTTAGTCTGAGATAATTTCAGGCCCTTCTTGCTTTTCAGAAGAGGCATTTTATTCTGTCTTGTCATATTATTTTCAAATTGTCTCATTTGCCCTGGTTGTGAGCATGTCTCCCTAACTAACAGGAAGACAGAATGCTATATTAGAAAAAGCACAAAATTAAATATCAGAACTCATTATCTTCCCCTCATAATCCTATCCCTCTTCCTAACTTCACTATTTCTGTTATGGGTGCCAGAGTCCCACCATTCTTTCAGTCATCCATTTTTAGAACTTGTCATCCTCAACTCTTCACTTTCATTCATCCCCCCAAAACAGCTTCAAAGTCTTATGCATTCTACCTTTTCAGTATCTCTTGCATCCATCTCTTTTCACTCACATAGCCATCTCCCTAGTTCAAAACTATTACAATAGCTTCCTGATTGGTTTCCTTGCAACTCAATCCATCCTCCACACAGCTGCTAAAATGATATCCCTAAAGTACAGATCTGTGCATGTCACTACCCTGAATGACAACTTTCAGTGGCTCCTTACTGCCTCTAGGATAAAACTCAGACACCTCTGTTTAGCATTTAAAGCCTCTCACAGTCTGGTTCCAGCCTGTGTTCTGAGGCTGATTGCACATATTCCCCTTCACATTCACTCCGTTGCAGACAAATTGGCCAGACAACATGAAAACAACCAGTGTAGAAACAATAGAGAGAGGATAAATTGGAAGTAATCAACAGAGGGAAGGCAGAAGCATTAAGGGGGATCAGGAAAAGCTTATTATAGAAGATGGGATTTTAACTGGGCCCTGAAGGAAGCCAGAGAAGCTAGGGGATAGAAATAAGGAGGAAAGTGTTCCAGGCACAGGGGCACAGGCAGTGAAAAGGCTCAAAGTCTAGAGATAGAGTATCTCGTGGCAAGTGTCACTGGCAAGGGAGTGAGGTATAAGAAATCACTGTTCAAAGTGGTGTATGTGTAGAACTGTAAATCATTCCACTGAATAGTGCTCTGCGCCAGGATCCAGACATAGAGGACCATGCTTCCTGGTAATGGGGACCTTCTCCCACCTCAGTTCATGGTCCTCCATGTGCATGCATGACCACACTTCAAAACAACCTTTGGGGTATGGCCTCTCACAGGTTAGCTTTCCTTTCTACCCACTTAAGGACAAAGGACAGACTTTCTATCATATGAGCCATCCCTTTCACTAATGTGACTGCACCCATGGCTAGATTATCTTTGCCCCAGGTGAGAGACTTTCTGGTCACAGCTCCCAGTGTATAGCACTACTTTCTCACTAAATCTCACTAAAGACTAATGGACTCATCCCTTATCATTTCCCATCTTATCCACACACTGGAATTCTAAAAGGGTTCTAATGTAATTAGGTGAGTCACAAATACATCTATCACAGCCATTGTTCCCCGGAAAACCTATTGTCATTCAAATTTTTAACTTGAAGTTTTATTGTAGCTTCTATGGCAGGCGCTTGTCGATTTTTTATTCTCTTTTCCCTCTCATTTGTTCATGGGAAGACCCAGAAGTACAGTCTAAGAAGATAAAAAGGAGAAGATAGAGCCAAAACAAGAGTCAGAGAAATTTTTGCCCAGTCATGGTTTAGAGAACACTACAACTAAGTGCCAATTAACACAAATGATAAATATCATGAAGAGGTCTCATGTATTCAAATTTGCACCATTCCAAGTTATAATTATGTAAAATATGGTTACTGGTTCCAGCCCAATGGAAATAGTCAGTGTGGATTCAAATAATGTTTCCACTTCACAAGATTCGTTATTTGTACTAATTGGGACCTTACTTATACAAAAGTCCTAACTTAAAAGAACTTATTAAAGGGAATTAGAAATGTAGGCCATGTGTAATGAGGAAAAATGGAACATTAGCCCTCTTACCCATACAATATCATGCTGTGCCAGTCAAAGTAAGGAAAAAAAAAAAGGCTTGGACAAACCAGCTAGGAAGCAGCTAGGTGGAGAGGGAGCTGGGCCTAGAGTCCAGAAGCCCTGAGTTCAAATTGGCCTCAGACACTTATTAGTTATGTGATCCTGGGCAAGTCTCAACCTCTCCAAGCCTCAGTTTCCTCAACTGTAAAATGGGATTAATAATAGCACTAATCTCCCAAGGCTGTTATGAAGATCAAATGAGATACTATAAAGCACTTAGGACAGTACAAAACACATAATAGGTGTTTAATAAATGCTTGTTCCCTTTTTTTTCTCCTATAGGTCTACTTTGTAATCTCTTATGTTTTCATCTAATCATGATCCATCACCTGTGGGGGCTTTAGTGTTGGCTTTCTTGCTCTCTCGGTCTCCTTTCACAGCCCAGACATGAACAGCGTAATCCATGCCTGGCCTCAGGCCTGTCAGGATGGTAGTGGTCTTGTCCTTCCCCACTGGTATCTCCATCGTCTGTCCATCAGCTGAGGTATAGCGCACCATGTACCTGTCTATGACAGCTTGAACTGGGTCCCAGGATATAGTGGCTGTGTCCTCTGTCACTCGATCAGTTATCAGGTTCTTTGGATCATCAATTTCTTTAAGAAAAAGTTTAGGAAAAGATAAGCATTGACGCCAATTTGGTCATCAGCATCAAACAATCTTCATGAGTATTGGTGGAGATGGCAAGCCTCTAGGACTCTCATCATAGCCATCTTCTATACAATAATCATGACATTCCTTTTATAGACACCTGAGAGAGTTCATGGAACGGGTAGTTCCTGGTCCCCATTTCCAGATTCATTTTTAAGTTCATTCTTTTGGGCCTCCTTGGATATATATAGCTTCCTCAAGAAGAAGGAGAATGGATCACCCAAGGAACAACTCTTCTACAACAGAAGTAGTCAGTCTTACTATTTAAGACCAGTTGCAAACATTTGAATAAACAAATTATGAATTTCCAGCAAGATGGTATGAGAGACTATATATAAGCCTAGCTCTTCCTCTTTACCTTAAAAATAGCTAGAAATGTGCCAAATAAACTGAAATTAATTAATAACAACTAAAATGTTGAGTGGAAAGAATAGAAAGAAACCAGAACAGATATTTTGGAACTGAGGAAGCAAAGAAAAGAAATAATATGGGGTAAGATAATGCAAGGAAGTTTTTTCAGAAAAGAATAAAGCTATAGTAACTATGCCTAGAATTCAAGGGGAAAAAAGAATGGAACCATCACAAAAAATCTGAAGATCCGTAGAAGACCTAACAAAACAAATGAAGGAAAAAAAGAAGTGTGAAAATAGAAGTCTTAATGAAAAATTTTGAAATAGAATTTATAGCTTTAAATAAAGCAAAGAGGGGACAACCTGATAAAATCAATGGAGGCAATAGAACTCAAAAACTCATAATACAACAAGAATTATTAGAACAAAGTCAAAAGACAGCAAAATCAGAAAAGAAAACATAATTACAACACAATCAACCTGGAAGACAAGGCTTGGAGAGAGAATTTTAAAATCACTTGTGTTCCAGAAAACTATGATGAAACAAATAGCCTGAATACAGTATTTCAGGAAGGTATAAAAGAAAATTGCTCAGAAGTACTAGAATCAGAGAGTAAACTATAGACTCACAAAATCCAAAGGATATAAGCAGAGAGAAGACCTAGGTTTATCTCAAATTGGATGATCAAGCTCCAGAGTTCCCAGTAGCTCAGAATCTCAGAATTTGAAGGCATCTAATCTCATCCACATCTGAATGGGAATCTCTTCTATAACATAACTAATAGATGATCGTGCAACCTTTGCTCAAGGACTCTAGTGAAAAGGGAGCACACAGCAGTTCATTTCACTCTTTGATAGCCCTGATTGTTAGAAAATTTCCTAACATCAAAACTAAAATTACTTCTTTACCACTTAAACCAATTTCTCCTTGTTTTGCCTTCTGGGTTCATGCAGAACAAGACTCATCTTCCCACATGACAGCCATTCAAATATTTAAAGACAGCTACTCTCTTTTTCTTATTTATTTAACTCTTCCCAGCTCCTTCCATCCTGTCTGCCTTCTTCCAGACATCCTATAGTTTATCAAAATGACCTCACAACTAAACCACTACTCTACAAGCAGTTTGGTCACAACAAAATACAATGGAACTATCAGCTAGAAGGCAAATGGATAGACTATTGGGTCTGAAATCTGGAAGATCTGAGTTCAAATACAGCCTCAGATACTTACTAGCTGTGTGATCTCGGGCAAGCCACTTAACCCTGATTGCCTCGCTTCCCCGCCCCCCAACTCAAAAATAAAATATAAAATGCCAAGAAGAAAACAAAAGGTCAGAAGGAATCAGAGAGTAGCAGGAGATTTTGAGAAAGTTACATGTTACCTTATCTAGACCAGGAAAGGGAAGGTGACTTTTTTTAATGTATCAAAATTATACATTTTGGAAAAATAGTGGAAAAAATAGAATAAAATGAGCAGGGAATTAGGATGAAATAAGGACAGGGAACAGAGGTATGTGAGTCAGAGGATATGGTCAAGGAGGGGATTGCTACTAAAAGGGGAAGATTATAAAATAAAAGGAAAAAATGCAAGACACATTTGTAATTGAGGTCTGGGCCAAGAAGGAAGAGTAAAGAGAGAAGTCTATGATCAGATTATCTCAAGCAATACAGAATATGCATACTTAGCAGCAGCTAGATGGCACAGTGGATAGACTACTGAGCCTGGAGTCAGGAAGACTCATCTTTCCGCGTTCAAATCTGGCCTCAGACATTTACCAGCTGTGTGTCCCTGGGCAAGTCACTTTACCCTGTTTGCCTCAGTTTCCTCATCTGTAAAATGAGCTGGAGAAGGAACAATATCTACTCCAGGATCTTTGCTAAGAAAACCCCAAATGGGGTTATAAAGAGCGGGACACAACTAAACAACAACAAAAGTTCAAAATACAGATTTCTTTCTTTTAAATAGGCTGGAGAGGAGCCAGGAAAACAATATATATATATTATAGAAGCATTTTATAGAGAGAAAACAAACTTAATCACAACTATGAATGTTAATAGGATAAATCTATCCATAAAATAAGGAGGAGGGTGGCAGAATGAATTAGAAACCAAAACCTAATAATTTACAATATACAGGAAAACATACTTAAAACATAAGGATTCTTACTGTTAAAATGATGGGTTGGAACAGAATTTATTACAACTTCATTGGATCCAAAACAGCAGGAGTAGCAATCATGATTTTAGACAGGCAACAGTGAAAATAGATACAGCCAAGAAACAAACAGGGAAACTATACGATATTATGCTTAAAGGCACTGTAGATCATAATAATTTCTAAAAATCAGTCAAGACCCAAGGAATGAATTAAGGCATGAAGAATAAAAGATTTCTCCCTTCCTGGGAATGTGCATTACTAGAACATTTCTGGATGCAAAGGAGACAACTGGGTATAGTAATTTCTCAAATTATAATTCTTTTTCCATGTGACAGAATAAGTTCTAGTCTCCCCAAGCATTGACTTCACTGCTTCCAGTAAGTTTTTCAATTAGAGAAACATATCTATCGATGCTACATTTTGCCTTTGTGATGGTAAAGGATTAATGAGTCTTTCTAATTCTGCTCTTATTACCAGGAAAGTTCCTTAGGTTCTATCTCCATATGGTCACTGCACTAGACCAAGGTGTGGCTGATGCAATTACTTCAATTCCCTTTACAAATGGTATTGACTAATGTCGATAACTGAACAGCAAGGCAACACATTATTCCTTAGCAGGAATGATTCGGCGTGTCATACTTTGATCAAAACATTTCATATGTGTAACACGTAAACCCATAAAGAGGCTTACCTAGAATAGAGGCTAAAAGTTGGCTCTCTTCTAACCTGAATGCATAGAATGGCCAACTTACTAGTCACTTACCATAATCCTCTCTGGTACAAGCTACAGTCAGGAGGACCAATAAAAGATTGCTTTGTCATCCCAAAAAAGCAAATCTATGACCCTCAACAAGAGGTAAATGCACATGATCAGTTCCATGACCCCCTGTTACAAGTTTCCTCTAAGTCCCAGGGATACATGAGAACCAACCAGGAGTTGCTGATGGCATACGCCGTTTAATTAGCATTTATGTAGCATTTTAAGATTTATAAAGTATCTTATAAATTTTATCTTTTTACCCTCAAAACAAGCCTGGGAGGCAAGTGCTATTATTATCCTATCCATTCTACAGTTGAGGAGACTGAGGCAGACAGAAATTGAATGACTTGCCCAGGGTCACAAAGCTAGTAAATGTCTGAGCTTGGATTTGAACTCAGCTGTTTTTGACTCCAGGTCCAGTACTCTGCTCATTGGTTCTCTTCGTTCTCTCAGCTAGGTTTAGCAAGGAACCAGAGCATGTACCCCACCAAAGGGAGTAGAACATATGGTCAGCTCAATGAGAAGAGCCCCAGTGCAGCAGATGCCCCAATTACCTGTTACACATATATTTCCAATTCCTCCAGAATGAGGATTTTGATGCTCTTAACTGACATCAGTTAGCAAACTTGCCATTGACTGATGTGTCTCTTCTGAACCCCGATAAGGAAGAATCATTTGAAAAAGTTTATAAAAGTGACACCTTTGCCTAGCTGCCTCTTTGACTTGAGAGTCTGATCTACCTTCCTGTCAAAATTGATCTTTATGTGATTCCATAATTTTAAAATAACTTGCTGTTTGTTTTATTAATAAAGCAAATTTTTTAAACCAGACCTATGAATGTCATTGATATACAAAGCTTCTGGTAAGGAAATTTCCTCTACTAATTCAGGTCACTACCTACTCAACAATTTATAGTCATAAAGATTTGCCTGAAGCAATAAGAAGTTAAATGATTTACCCAGGATCTCTCAGAATATGTATTCAATCCACATTTATTAAGCACCTACTATGTGCCAGGCACTGTGTTAAGCACTGGGGATACAAAAAGAGGCAAAAGACAGTCCCTGCCCTCACGGAGCTTGCAGTCTAGCGGGGGAGACAACATGCAAACAAATTATAGACAGGATAAATAGGAAATAATTAACCATGAGAAGGCACTAGAATTAAGAGGGGTTGGGAAAGGCTTCCTGTGAAAGATGCATCAGAGGCAGGTCTCCTTCACTCCTCTATGCAATAAACTCCAGGGCCTCCCTATCACCTCCAGGAGCAAATACAAAATCTTCTGTTTAATATTTACAGACCTTCCTGGCCTGGCCTCTTTTGGCCTTGGCAGTCTTCTTGTATCTAACTCCATGATCCAGCAGCTTTGGCCTCCTAGCTGTTACTTACACATGATGGTCCACTTCTGAACTCTGATTATTTTCACTGGCTGCCCCCCATGCCTGGAATTCCTCCCTCCTCACCACTATCTCCTGGCTGCCTTGGCTTTCTTTAAGTCTCCACTAAAATTCCATTTTCTGCAAGGAGTCTTTCCTGGTCCTCCTTAACGGTAGGGCCTTCCCTCTGAAATGACCTCCAATTTTCCCGATATATCCTGTTTGTGCATGTTGCTCCTCCCCTTTCCAATTAAATCATGAGCTTTTTTTAGCCAGTTACTGGTTTTTTTTTTTTGTCCATTTTTTTTTGTATCATCAGTACTTAGCTCCATGCCTGGTGCATGAGTGACACTTAATAAATGCTTGCTGCCTTGATTTCCTGATTCTGAGAGCAGCTCTTTGTAAGCTCCATCATCTCACCTCTCAAAGCAGTTCTTATTGGGGGAGGGAGTATAGACAGCCTGACTAGGAAAACTTAAATTGTTTATGAAAGAAGAGCCAGGAATAGACTTTGAGAGAGAAGAAAGGACTTCAGAGATAATCTAATCCTGTTATCCTATTTTACAAATCAGCACGTTGAGACTGAGAAGGGTGACACTACTCCCCCTAGATCACAGAGCAGCCGGGCCCAGACTATAGAACTCAGGCCTTCTGTCAGTCAGTCAGACCATATACGTTTATCAAGCACCTCTTATGCGACAGGCACTGTGCCAAGTGCTGGGCAGAAAGAAAGGCACAAGACAGTCTTTGCTCTCAAGGAGTTCATAATCTAAATTCTGACTCCATAGCCAGTACATTCTCCATTACATTCAGCTTCCGAATGAAGTAAAAAAAAAAAGAGCGAGACAGACAGAGAGAGAAACAGTGTGGTACAATGGAAAGAGCATTGAATTTGCAGTCAAAGAACCTGAGTTTGAATCCCAAGTCTGGTACATACTACATGTTTGACATTGGGCAAGTCACTGACTTTCTCTGAGCCTTGGTTTCCCTATCAGTAAAATGGGAGAACTGGATTAGATGACCCCCTAAAGTTCAGTCTACTTTGTGTTTTAGTCTAGTCTTATCCTATACCTGAAAAGATGACTCCTGAGAAAAGAATAGAACATCAATTCTAAATAAATAAATAAAATAATTAAGATTAAATATATAATTATATATTATTATATTATATAATTATTATAATTATATTTCAGCTACAGAGCAATTTTAAATTGATTTAATAATAAAACAATTGCGTAGTATGGAATGCCCAGATGTATCACCAATAAGCCCACAAACAACAACAATAACAAATTCCTCTTCTCTCTCTTGGCAGCCTAATGGAGGGACTACTAGATCGGAAGTTAAAGAACCTGAATTCAAGGCGTGATTTGCTGCTTCCTGGAATGTGGCTTACCCTCTGCTCCTCAGTCGCCTCTTCTATAAAACAGAGATCATCATACTTGCATTACCTGCCTCACTGGATCATTGTCCAGAAAGTCTGCGAGTCATAAAGTCAATATAAAGACGTGAACTGTTACCTGTTGGGGCTTTGGTATTGGCTTTCTTGCTCTCCCGGTCTCCCTTCACAGCCCAGACATAAACAGCGTAATCCATGCCTGGCCTCAGGCCTGTCAGGGTGGTGGTGGTCTTGTCCTTCCCCACTGGTATCTCCTTGGTCTCTCCATCAGCTGAGGTGTAGCGTACCATGT